ATGTCGCTGAACTCCCATGTAGTCCGTTGATCGCGGTTCGTGTCCTGGACCCTGTGGCTTAAACTCATGCCGGGTGTGTGTGTGTGCGTGCCTGCCCAGGATCCTGAGAGGAGAATGGAGAAGGGACTGTGGGTGGCCATCCCCCCTGGGGGGGGGTGATTTCTCACTTTCTGTCTCTCTGTCTCTCTCTGTCTTTCTGATGAGCGCATGCGTCCTATAGCAAAAACCTCTCCCCCTCCCCCTACCCTCCCCCACCAAAAAGATTATTTTAGCTCTTCTTTTCCTATACATACAACTTTTGGACACAACTTGTCATATTTGAAGAAAAAAAATATCCTACTGTTTTTTTCTTTGCAATTTTGTCTTGCAAACCATAAACATAATACATACTTACATTCATTTAATTCTTCCTTAACTTCTATCAGTATATTATATTGGGTTGTCGGAAAAGTCATGATATATTTTTCTACGCAAAAATGTGTTGTAACTTTTCCAATGACTCAGATTTTTTAGTTTTTTTTCACTAGAATAATCCCTACATATTTAACATTTTTCATGCTGCTGTAAATAGTAATCACTATTTAAATTTCAATTGGATTATTGCTATTCATAGAAATAAAAATAAATTTGTAACATTGTGTGTATCTAGAGATACTGCTAAATTCATCTGATAGTGTGTATGAAATTCCTTTTGGATTTTCTATATACATGACCTATTTTCTGCTCATAGTTTTATTTCTTCCTTTTCTGTCATGTATTTATTTTGTTTGAACTTCAATATAATGCTAAGTAAAAGTGATTTTAGCAGGCATCATTGCCTCATTATCATTTTTTAGGAGAAAGGCTTTCAGTAGTTCAACATCAAATATGATGCAGATCTAAACTATTTTCTTCAATAAAGAAAAATAACTACAAATTATTGGCTAGCCCAAAATATTGGGTTGTCAGGAAAGGCATGACATATTTTTTCTGTTTTCCTATGCAAAAATGTGTCATGCCTTTTCTGACAACCCAATATATATTACAACTTTTCAGTCAACATGAGAAGAACTAGCTCTCAAAATCTGGAATCTCAAATGATGCGCTCACATGGTTCCAGGGGAGTTACAATACAAATAAAGAAAAATGAAAAGTTAATATTCCAGAGAATACACTGGTGAATTAGTTAATAAATACATCTAGTAGCCTATATAATTTCAGAAAATGATTTATCCTAAACTACTGAAAAATAGGTATTGTATTTTTTAAAGGATTAACTAAGAGAAATAATATTTTTACTTTTAATTGTTCAAAAGTTAGTTTAAAAACTTCTTGGGAGAAGCAGTAGGAAGCATGGTGGTTAAGGTGCTAGACTCCCACATGGCTAACCATATGGTTCAAGACCTGGATTCGGTGGTTTGCTTTCTGATTTCTCCTCTCTCTCTGTATGTGTCTTTCTCTGGTGAGTGCATGTGCCCTATAGCAAATTAAAATAAATAAATAAATAAATAAATAAAATTAAAAAACTAATTTTTTTTTCCAGAGAGGTTTATTCTATAAGGCGTATATGCTTGCCAGATAGGCAGGGAGAGACAGAGACAGAAAGCAAGAACTCAGCCCCCAGGAGGGATGGCCACACCACAATCCCTTCTCCTCCATGCTCTTCTTGGGATCATGGGCACACATGCACACATGCCCAGCATGAATTTAAGCCACCAAGTCCAGGACTCAACTGCAGTTGACTACATGGGAGTCCAGCGACATAGCCATTATGCCAACTGCTGGTCCCAAAAAATAATTAAGAAAACACTTCTTCAGATAACGAAACAGTTCAAACTTAAAAAATACTTCTCAGGACCAGCAGATGGCATAATGGTTATGTCACTGGACTCCCATATAACTGACCACGGTTCAAGTCCTGGACCTGTCAGCATCAAACTCATGGTAGGTGCATGTGTGTGCGTGCCCAAAATCCCAGGAGGAGAGTGGAGAAAATGGGACTGTGGTGTGATCATCCACCCTAAGGAGTGATTTCTTGATTTCTGCCTCTCTGTCTCTCTCTGAGGAGCGCATGTGCCTAAAGCAAAAATCTCTCTTAAAAAAAAGAAACTTCTCATATTTCTTGGGAATTTTTAGTAGAAAGGAGCTAAATTATACAAATTTGTAATTTAAGCACTCATTACCCTACTGCCAATCAAACATAAGAGTTTCCTATTTGCTACTCTTATCACATTTCTTACCACTTTAATTTACCTTACGGACTGTACAATGTCTATCCTATTCACTATCATATTCCCAGACTCTAACATAATACCTAACTATTTATAGATGCACCATAAAGTCATGATAGCTCAATGAATAAACAAATTACTTTTAGATTATTGAGGAAGTAATTTTTCAAAAATATACTTAGAAGTCAGCTAATACGTATTAAATCCAAACTTCTTAACCATTCACTGCTCCTGACAACATATCCTTTCTGATGTTGTCTTCTGCTCTCTCACATATGCCAAAGACATTATGTAACTGAGGTCCATTTCATTCTCTTAGTACAGCTCTCACTTTTTCTTCTTCTTCTTTAAAAGAGATTTTTGCTATAGGATGTGTGTGCTCACCGGAGAGACAAAGAGACAAGAAAGTAAGAAATCATGCCCGGGGCGGGGGAATGGCCATGCTGTAATCCCTTCTCCTTCATTCTCCTCTTGGGATATTGAGCACACATGCACACACGCCTGGGGTGAATTTCAATTTGCCGGGTCCAGGACTCGAACTGTCATCGACCATGTGGGAGTCCAACGACATACTTATTATGCCATCTTCTGGTCCCCAGCTCTTAAATCTTACCTATCTTGAAATCTTGTCATGCCAGTGGGTTCATCTAAAATACTCCTCATTTCTGCTTCTTTTGGCCCCAAATTGAGTTCTTTTGAGATTTTTGCTATTTTTCAGTGCCCATCAGATATTATACATCTTTCCTATCTCTTCAACTATATGTTTTCACTCTTAATGTAAATATGCAAATAAGTCTTTACTCAGTTATTTAATATCTATCTCATCTCATACTTTTATCAGTCTTTAAGTTCTTATGACATGGTCATTCTATTTTGTTCACCTTCTTATCACTGCAGCACCTAGCATAGTTACTTGGGAAATGAGGATGTTCAATGAATATTAAACTGGAATCTGTGAAAATACTGTTCAAAATCTATTTTCTAATAATAGTGCTAAGGTGAAACAAATTTAAGAATGGTCCAACAATCTGAAGTAATTATAAAAGTTTTAAGAGTCTGAGAATAAATATAATCAAAACACTGGGACCAATAGTTGGTGTAATGCCTCTGTCTCTCTCTGTCTTTCTGGAGAGCGTGTGCATCCAATAGCAAAAACCTCTCCAAAAAAAAAAAGTATATATATATAAAATCATAACATAGATTTAAAAATCTTTGGAAGAATTAAAATGTAGACTTAAATGTAGACTTTCTACACTTCCTATTAAAACTTTTAGAATCTGAGCCTTTGTTAATAACTGAAGATTCAGGTGAAAAAAGTTATGTAGGAAGAATAAGACAAACTGACATTAAAAGCGCTTTCACATTCTCTAAAACCAAAATGTTAAAGAACTATAGTAAATGAAGAAAACACTTGAAGAAGTTTATATATCTTAGATTTTAAATCATTGATATTATACAATTAATTCCTATTCATCTTTGATCTCAAAAAGACTCAAGAAATAATGATGAACAAATGCTAAGTTAGCAATAGCTTCCAGAAGATATGATGAGTATCATGCCCAGAGATCTTCTGGGGCTTTAAAATACATCTTACGTTTGAATCCTTCTTTCAAGTCTATGCTATAACTTTAGTGAAGCTTAGAGGTTATGAGATTATAAAAGATTTTCTATCACTTAAATACTTACAGTTCTTAGTTAAATATGCTAAAAAGTAATATAGAAAAAATAATATTAAGGTAATCATTGTGAACAGTGGATGGACAGCCTCAAGATTCTCTGGACTGAGATCAGTCTTTGAGAAAAGAAACACAAATCAGTAAGCTCTATGTTTAGTATACATTAAGGAAAATATCTGTATAGATAACTATACTCAAGGCAACCAAATGATTTCTCTCTGGTACCTTAAAAATAACATCTTCACTTTTAATATCTTAAAAGCAATTTCAGTTCTAGTTATGAGATTTATTTACGTAAAAGCAAAGCACTCCTTATTGTATCAGCAAAAAGCCATTGCTAATTTAAGAACCACTATTTTTCTTTTAATATTCTGTAACACAGGTCCACCAGTAAGTGTAGCTTATTGGTTGAAGAACATTTAAAAACAAACTTTAAAAAAAAAACATGACACCAAGGGAATGAAATATTAAAAACAATATTAAGACAATAATAGTATATAATATTTACTATTTGAGTTCACTTATGCTTTTATCATAAATTATGAGAATTCAGAGAGTTAGAGCATATAAGTAGATACAGATTGAGAAATAATTATAGGATGTTTCAAAACGTGAATGAATTCTCATTTTAGAAGTCAGATATTTTAACATTACATACACACATACACACACACATGCTTGCTTTCTCTGTCTCTCTCACCCTGTGAGGATAAAGGCAATTTCTAGGGAAGAAGAATTTATTTTCTTAAAAAATAATTATTTTATTTAACTTTATTTATTTATATTTGACCAGAGATGGACAGAAAGAGTGAGGGAGCAAGAGAGAGAAAGAAAGTAAGAAAGCAAGCTGCCAGATTTGGGACTTGAACAGAGGTCGGCCATATGGGAGTCCAGTGCTCTCAATCACCATGCTATCTGCTGGCCCCAAGTAATTACTTTCATTAAACAAAAACAAACTTTTTTCTTAATGAGAATCAAAGTTATAAGCAAAATTTCAAAGTGCAGTTTCACATGAGGCTAATCCTAAATAGAATTCATACTGCATTCATATTTATGTAGATATTCTTACAACCAAATTTGAACCTAATTGTTAGACTTTAATTAATTGACATACCTGAACAGATGAATATTTGGAAAAATTTTCCATTTGATACCTCCTAAGAACTTCATTTAGTCTTTGATCTGAAACAAAGAGAAAAACAAATTTTAGTTCACTAGGTAATGTTCACTATTTTTTTTTAAAGAACTATTTTATTTAACGTTATGTATTTATTTTTATTTGACCATAGAGGTACAGATAGAGTGAGAAATCAAGCTTCTAGGTCCAGGACTTGAACTGTGTGTTGTCACGTGGGATCCTAGCGCCCTTAACTACCACACCACCTGCCGGCCCCGGGAATGTTCACTATTTTAAAACTGAAAGTGTAGTAGTTATTATATACAGGTATATTGGTATCACTACCCTGGGAACCAAACCCACAAGTATTGTTTGAGCAGCGCACTACTACTGTACCACCCAGTTGGCATACCATAGTTTGATCTGCTGGATCTACAACTAATATCAAAATTGTTCTGTGACCTGATGGTTAACACAGGTGGACCCCACATGGTCAATCAAGCCACTTGACTTGATTCCCGGACCTTGTGACTTGAGAAACATGCATGCCCAGACCTGAAAGGATGGAGGGAGAGATGGAGGAGAAGGGGTTGCAGTATGACCATTCCCCATGGGGAGGATCTCTCCTACCCCTCTTTGTCAAGCACACACAATGTTTAGCCAAAAACAAACAAACAAACAAAAAACCCAAAACCCAACAACTAATCTCTGCTGTTCACAAAATGAGATAAGTTACCAATTTCAACATAGCACTTTAGAATTATAAATAGACTCTCTTATTCACCTGAGTCGACACTGCCAATGAGAAAAAGAACAGCCACAAAGAACTAATTTTACTGATTTTATACACTTGAATTCTCAGTCTCTTCTGGCTTGCTCTTTAGGTTCGCAGAAGGAAAGAATTATTCTCTACAGTTTTTCAATTTATGCTACCAGAATTGAAAAGTGAAGACATATTGTGGCTGTATATTTTAGAATTCTTGAAATCAGTGGAAACTCTTCAAAGACAAACATCTAAATGTAGGAGAAGGTGCAGGGCAAAAATACACAAATTAAACAGTAGTGAGCAAGAGACAATGGAAAGGAATGTCTAGAATAAAGCTCTCAGTACATACAAGGTCATATTGTTATTAACATCAAACAAAGGAACATATAGGGGCCTCAACAAATGTACAGTCACACACATTTTTCGAGCTACGTGGAACATTAAAAATTTGTTACTTTCCACACTGAGCAAATTTTAACCTTTAAAAGACTGAGCAAAAGAACACACCATTTGACCATAGCACAGTTAAGCAAGAATCAAAAACTGAAAAGTCATGGGAATAATTCCCTATACCAGGGTTCTCCAAAAAAGTTCATGGAAATGTGTATTATAAAAACAACTATACATGGCTTTCAATTTTTTTTTGCACCAATATAAACTCATACTTTGATTCTATTCTTGTACAAATTTTTTGAACTCCTTTTCCATTTTTGGAAGTTTAAAAATCACTTTTAGGGGCCAACAGGTAGCGTGGTGGTTAAAGTGCTGTACTCCTACATGGCTGACTGCAGTTCTGGATCTGGTGGCTTGAAAATCATGCTGGGTGCGTGTGTGCCCAAAATCCTGAGGGGAGAATGGATAAGGGATTGTGGCATAACCATCTCCCCATACAGAGTCATTTTTTCCATTTTTGGAAGTTTAAAAATCACTTTTAGGGGCCAACAGGTAGCGTGGTGGTTAAAGTGCTGTACTCCTACATGGCTGACTGCAGTTCTGGATCTGGTGGCTTGAAAATCATGCTGGGTGCGTGTGTGCCCAAAATCCTGAGGGGAGAATGGATAAGGGATTGTGGCATAACCATCTCCCCATACAGAGTCATTTTTCTCTCTCTCTCTCTCTTTCTTGTGAGCGCGCACACCCTATGGCAAAAACCATTTTTTTTTTATAAAAAGAAAAACACTTTAAACTTATCCAACAGTCTTAGAAAGAATTACAAAATAGATTTGAAAGTATTTTAAACTAAACAATAGTGAAACTGAAGTATGTCAAAATTTGCTAAAACAAAGAAAGTAACACCCTCAACCTAATAAAATCTATGAAAAATGTACAGCTAGTTTCATAATTTTGAAAGACAGATGCTTTCCCCATAAGATCAGGAATAAGATAAGAATATTTGTTCCCACCATTTCTCTTCAGCACTAGTCGGTGTAATAAGGTAATAAAAAGAAGTGAAAAGCGTCCCAATTGAAAAGGAAGAAATAAAACTGTATTTATTTTCAAAGGACAAGATCAGCTATATAAAAAATTAACGGAAACTACAAAAAATCTATTGGAACTAATAAACAAGTTTAGCAAGGTTGCAGGGTACAATATTAAAAAAATATTAAAAAGTATTTATATATATTAGCAATGAATAAGAAAATACAGATAAAACAGTAAAACCGTTTATAACAGTATTTATCAAAAACTCCCATACAGAGGAATAAATCTCACAAAAGATGTGTAAAACTTATTCATTAAAAACTACAAAACATTGCTGAGGGAGATTTAAAGAGTTATATTGATGAAGAGTATACTTTTTCATTGGTCAGGGAACTCAATATCATTAAGGTCTGAATTCTACACAAATTGAACAATAGATTCAATACAATGCTTATCAGAATTCCATCATCTCTTTTGGGGGAGGTAGAAATTAACAAGTTCATCCTAAAATTAATATAAAAACACAAGGACTTATGATAGCCAAACAATTGTGCAAACAAATTAAAAAGGTTAACATTCTTTGAAGACTAATTATAAAGCTGCGATAATCAAAGACAGTGAGGTATTGGTATCCAGATAGACAAATATTGGGTTGCCAAAGAAGTCATGAAGCATTTTTACGTAGAAAAATATGTCATGACTTTCCCAGTGACCTAATACATCAGTGAAACAGTTCGAAAGAGACCCACACACATATGGACGATTCATTTTTTTCAAGTTTACTTATTTATTTTCTCTATGAAAGAGAGAGAGACAGAGAAGAAGAGAGGCAGGCACTCCCAACAGGGTCTTCGTGCTTTGACCCTACCCCATCCTCAACAGCCAAGAGTCCAAGCACATGCACACACCTGGCCTGCACTGGGAGACCTTGGGATGTGAATCTGAAACATTTCCGCATGCAGCATCAGAGTGCATTGGGTTACCACAGGACCACTGCAGCTGGCTGGGACAATGATTCTTAACAAAGGTGCAAAGGTCAATGAAGAAGGAACAGTCTTCAGCTTGGCATCCACATGCAAAAAAATAAACCTGCACCCTTCCTTCATACCTTCTACAAAGTTTAACTCTGTGAACTATAGCACCCTTCCTTCATACCTTCTACAAAGTTTAAGTTTCTGAACTATAAAGCTAAATGTAAAACCTAAATCCATAAAACTTCTAGAAGGTGTTTGTAACTATGGGTTTAGCAATAATTTTTTAGATACAGCACCAAAAGCATAATTCACAAAAGAACAAATTGATGAATTGAACTTCATCAAAATTAAAAACTTTTGCTGTATGACACTGTTAAGAGAATGAAAAGAAAAAAAATGAGTCCATCACCACTACCTATAACATCCACTACAAGAATGAATTCTTTATTATTTAGATTGATATACCAGTCTGCTTTTGATCAGGTCCTTAAGGACTATCAGATCTCCCTTTCTAGATGGAGGTGGAAAAATTGTGCACTGCAAATGTACTAAAAGTTTACTATAAGCTTGATTGAGTATGTAGTTCTCTGTGGCTATGATATATAAAGTAGAAACAGTAATTTAGCAGAGGCACTGTCATCTGGGGTTACCAGTTGAGAAAAACCAGAAAAGAGTCTTGAGCAAAGCTACCAAATCCACCTGGAATAAATGACTAAAGGCAGTCAAGATCAACAGAAGTCAATGTAGAAAAGGTCAGAGCCAGGTGGGAGGAGAGCAGCTCTGTCAATTTGTTATTGTTCTCAGACTCATTCTGCAAATGAGAAAACTGAGGCACAGAAAAGCTGAGAAACTTATCAAAGGTCTAAGACCTGGAGAGAGAAAGAGAGCAAACGAGTGAGCTAGGCTATTATGCCAAGAGCCAGGCTAAATCCAGGCTGAGTTCTTAAACCACACTGATTTATAATGATTCCAAAATGGAACCTAACACCTTTTCCTACCTTCCCTGTTGCTCAAGCCTGAAACCTGAGTTGCACTCTACCTCCTTCCTCAAATCCCTTGATCTCCAATCCCTCTGCACCCACCTCAGTGCCATTCCTACCAGGATGGCGACAGTAGTCACTTAACTGCACTCTGCTATAATGCAAGTCAGCCTGGGCTTTCCAAATCACAATCTGGTCATGTCACTCTCCGATGCATTGCTTTCAGTGATTCCTATAACCTGTCCCAGGTCCAAACTCCTCAGAAACACAGGCCCCTCACCATCTAGCCCCATTCTACACCTCAGCTCCACCTGTTCATCTCCCTATATGAATCCCTGAATTCCAAGTCAATCTGGTGCAAGTCTCTAATAAAACATATTCTTAACCATCGTAACATTGCAATTACAGTTCTAGCTGGGATTTCTACACTTTAAATTCGTATTGGTACTTCAAATTTCAGCTCAAATGGTGTCTTCCTTGATGACAGTTTAATAATAATCCCATAATAGTTAATATTTGTTTAGCACAATGTGTCAGGTACCATTCTTAATCTTTTACTTACTTGAATGCTCAATTATTCCAACAACCCTATGTGGAAACTAAAGCAAAAGAATTAGCAGTTGCTGCCACTTCGATGTATTTATGGAATTTATGTATTTCCCTCCGAAATTAAATTCTTGAGGGTAAAACTGTCCTCTTCATCTCTGCAGCAGCTGTGCCTGTATAGTGCCTGGCACATAATACAAATAGGAAAAGCTCAATAACATCTTTTGAATAAGTGGCTAGCGCTGTGCTTTTAGGTTCTAACTGCAGACTTGGCAACTCTTCTTGGCCATCAGTCCTCTAACTTTTTCAGAGCTTGGCAGGCGCATAACAAACACATTTAGTGTCTAGTACAGTCCCGAGTAAGCTAAAGGAACAGCATTGACCAGTTATGTTAAGTATTCGCACACCCTTATACATACCACCAAGCATTTTCTGCAACTAACTTATAAGTTTTTAGAAATGTCCATGCACCCAAGAAGCATTCAGAAAATATTAGTTTGTCAACGATGACGACATCAAACACAAGACATAAAATCTAAATAAAGGAAGATGGAGCTTACTTTGGTCTCTCAGAAAGTCGATTTCTGTGGCCATTTCGATACAATTCTAGTTTGGAGCTTTCACCACCTTTACCTTCCTCTGAAAAGCACAGGGCTTGCAGTGCGGGAAAACAAAACTATGACCACGCTCCGGAGGATGTCAAGCACTGGAGCGGTGTAATCAGCATCCTCCTCACGCAGCGTACACAGCCCCGCCGCACTTCCTTCTCCCGAGTCCTAGACGGGTCCCTGGGCCGGGCGACAGACTTCAGATTTCTGGATCGCTGGGGACGCGCCAGATGAATCCTGTCTCACGTTCAACCGAATCCCACCGGCGTGGGAACAAGACGTGCGGGTCGATACAGGCGTCCCGCGGGGCACTCGAGGTCTTGTCGAGCCACTTGGGAGGGTTCCGGGACAGCTGGCGGGCAGCTCGGTGGCGGTGCTTTTCGCTGAGCCGGGGGGACAACGCCACGGAAGCTGGGAAGGCCCGGGTCAGCAGCGGAAGTCCACCTGGCCCGCCCTACGACTTTGAAACCGGTGCCCTGGACCGCTCCTTGGAGACGGTGACGCCGCTTTCGTCATCACGCTGGCGTCAGCGCATACGTCATCGCGCTGTCTAGGCTCCTAGCATACTATTGGCTATTTGTCAAGCGATGGGCGGAGCCATGAGAACCTGGATGACAGCAGGATGAGCCACCAGTTCAGCGCGGCGGGCTAGCGGGCGGGCTTGGGTCTCCAGATGGTGGGACGTAGCGTCTTTATTTACTTACTTAAAAAGAAAATCTCAAAAAGGTTAATGTGGTCAGGACACTACATACATATTTCAAACGCCTACTATTTTTCTGTGCCTACTATGCGAGATACTTATGGACTGGGAGAACTCTCTGGGCGAAGGGGGCGGGTGGAAAGAATGGAGGTTCCTGTGGCTTGGGGCGGGACCCCAGACTGGCATCTTCAGAGCGCCGCTCCAAGGCTGTTCGGCAGGAGGATTTCCTGGTATGGATTTGATCATATCCAGAAGCTAAGTATGACCCTGTTCCTCTTGGGTCTCTAGAGAAAGGAAACCGCTGTTGTTTAAATGTTTAAACTGTGATAATAAGGCATGTGGTTAGAGGTTCTGGAAAGACCTTGCTAATTCAGCAGTTATTTCTTCAGAGATAACTTTGTTTCCTAAAATAAAAGGGAACGGAAAAGTTACATTTTTGCTAGCAAAAAATCGGTAAAATTTACATTTGTGGATAGATTACCATTCCCATTTTTATTAAAGGATTTTGTTCAGTGTTTTTTTAAACACTTAACATTGGAAGAAATCTCAACACAAGCAATAAAAATGTTGACTTAAAGCTAGTAACTAGTTTTAGTGCTTTTTAATAAATATTTTTTTTGGATTAAAGTGAAGTTTCACTGAACAGACCTGTCATAGATACAGATCAATTTGGCTTTCTGTTTAAGAGTTTAAGAAGTTTGATTGTCCTATACTCAATGTCATATAAACAAAGTAATATTAGCAAAAAGTATTAAGAAATTGAAAAATGTATCAGTGTGTCCAGTTTGGTATGTGAAGGCCTGTTACAGACCTTGCTCCATACTCACTATTAAGAGAAGGAGATAGTGTCTTCCTCTGAAGACTAGTTAAGTTAGAGATGTGGAGCTAATAATCATAAAAAGATTTAGTTTAGTTTTGAATTGGTGAAGATTGAACTTGTTTTGTTCTTAGTGGTCAGGAACTTAACAACTTGTTGGAAAGGAAAACCGAGTGTACAAGCTTCAACTTTTTTTTTTTTTTTAAGGTTTTTGCCATAGGTCGCGTGCACTTGTCAGAGAGAGAGAGAGGTGAAAAACCACCTCCCATGGGGAGTGGCCACTCTAGGATCCCGTCTCCTCCATGATCTTCTCTGGATTTTGGGGCACGGGGGCGTGTTTTTCCAATTGCCCTGGGACTTGAAACAAGCGATTCAGACAGGTGGGAATCCAAAGCCTTAACCACTACCCCATCTGCTGGCCTGCTTCAACTCTTATTTATTTTTAAAAGTCAGTGTATGACACTTTCATGAACTTACTGCTCACGACCGTGTACTTTCCCCTATATTTGAACCTTGCATATCGTCATCGCGTGATTTAACTTGGTATCCAAAAAGAACGCTAAACTCTAAAAATACGCCCAAAGTTTATATATTGGTGTGGATGAAAGTAAAAAGTAATGGCAACATCTTTCTTTCCTAAAAAAAAAAAAAAAATCAAATCTTTTGCTTTAATCCTCCAAGTCCCTCCCTCGAAATCGTGAGCAGTGGGGCGGAGCCTAAGGGTGAGCGCAGTGTAGAGACTTCAGCTGACCGGACGGAACCTGCCGAACAGGGAAGAGCCTCCAGGTCTATGTTCTCTTCTCGTTCAGCCCTCTTCACTGCCCCTCTTGCTTCCTCGCTGGCTTTGTCGTTAGCGTCCCTGAAAAACACTGCTAAGTATTTTACTTTCCAGCTGCCTTCGGCTAGCACTGTTTACTCCCACGTGGGCTGACTTCCTTTTTTCCCCCATTTCTCTTATAGATGGGCGGGGCCGGGTGAAATGCAGACTGAAAAGAATTATCATAGAAAATGCTATTAAGCACATATTTGTGAACAGAGGAATTCTGGCAAATTGTTTTGCTGAGGAAACAGCTTTTCCATAACTTTCTTCTCTTCAACATTTTTTCTTCTCCTAAGCTCCAGAATTCCTTCTCCTTTTTCTTTCGTTTTGAAAATCTGCATGGTACAGGTAAAGCAATGGAAATAATTGAAGAAAGAGTTTTTAAAAATATTTTAAAAATAATTTTTGATAAAAAAATAATTTGAAGTATAGAGGTGAAAATGTAGAAACTACAGATTAATATAAATGCTGTTTTAAGAAAATCCTTACAGCCGACACCAAAACTATAGCAGGATGACGATCAGTTCCATTTGGAGACATTCAGCCTATAGAATACAAGGAGAGAAGAGGAAGTTGCCATACCATTTTAAGAATCCCAGCCTTAAATTGGACTTTAAAGAATGTTTTAAATTACTCATTTATTTTTTAAAATTTTATTTATTCGTTGATTTATTTTAATATGAGCAGATAGAGACACAGAGGAAGAGAAGGAAAGTGAGAAAGTAAGCCACCAGGTCCGGTACTCAGACCAGGTTGGCCATGTGGGAGTGTCCAGCGCCTTAACTACCATGCCACCTGCTGACCCCTTTTTCATTTATTTATGAATAGTCATACATACCTCTCATAGTATAAAATTCAAAAAGGTAAAAAAAAAAAAAAAGCGATAAAATTCAGAGTAAGCCTCCCTTTCTCCCATGGCTCAGGCAGATAATTCCCTACAGAGAAGCAACCACTGCTCACATGGGTTTCTCACATGTTTCCTAATAGAGTGTGTGTATCACACACATGTATGCAAATGAGCTTCCTCTTTACTAAATAAATGCATACTTTTTGCACCTTGCTCTTTTTTACTTCACAGTATATTTTAGAAGTACATATAGAACTGCCTCATTTATTTTAACAGCTATGTAGTATTTTATTGTACGATATAGCATAATTTCTTTAACAGTCCTTTAGTGAAAGATATTTAAAGTTGCTTCCAATATTGTGTTATTTTAACTGCTACCACAAATATCCTTATATTTATGTCATTTTGAATGTGTATGTATCATAACTCCAGAAGCAGAGATAATGAGTTAAAGGAAATGTGCATTTTTATTTTGATATTGATGAATTGCTCTTCATAGAACTTATACCAGTTAGACCCAAATAGAAGTATATGATTTTTTATCTCCATATTTTCATTAATATATCATGTTATTAAACTTTCTAATCCTTGCCAACCTAAGCAAAAAACAGTAATTCTGTGGTGTTTTTGTTAGCATTTTTTTTTTTTTTGGTCTCTTAAAACATTTTTCTTGGGGCCAGCAAGTGGGTAAGGTACTGGACTTCCACATGGCCTACTATGGTTTGGGTCCAGGACTTGGAGGTTTGAAAATCACACCGGGCACACATGCGTGGGTTCCCAGGATCTCGGGAGAGTGGAGGAGAAGGGATTGCAGGTGGCCATTCCTCCTTGGAGGCAGGGGCGATTTCCCAATTTCCCTCTCATTCTCTCTCTCTGTCTCTCCTGCTGAGTGCATGTGCCCTGTGGCAAAAACCTTAAAAATTTTTTTATTTTAAAAATCGATGATAGGGTATGTGTGCATGCATGTGAGAATGAGAGACAGACAGAGACATGAGCACCCTTCCCAGGGTCTGATCACATCATGATCCCATTCCTCCGGTCCTCTCTACTGTAGATTTTGGGGCACAAACACACATACCCAGCAAGTTTCAGGCTGAACTGGCCTGGATTTGAATGTGGGAACAAGGTTCTTTTTTTTTCTTTTTGATAAGAGATTTTTGCTATAGGGCACATGTGCTTGCTAGAGAGACAAAGAGAGAGAGAGAGAGAGAGGGAAAGTGAGAAATCACCTCCATTGACCTGAGAACTGACCATTCTTATCTTTCACCCACTTTTCTGTTGAGGTGTTGGCCTTGTCCTTATTAATTTCTAGGCACCTTCTAAGCATTAAATTATAATAATTGTCTAAAATATAAATTCATTGTACATTTTCCCAGACCATCTTTTGATTTTGTTAATGGTAAGATTTTAGGGGGATGAGGTAGGGTGGAGGGAGTCTTCTATTTTGTAGAACTCAATGTGCACTCAAGAGAGAGAGACCGAGAGAGAGAGAGAGAGAAAGAGAGAGAGAGAAAGAAAGAAAGAAAGCATCCCCTTCATAGGGGGTGGTCATGCTGCAATCCCTTCTCCATTTCTCCTTTCGAGTTTTTAGGCACATATATACACATATGCCCAGTGTGCTTCTCAAAACATTGGGTCCAGAATTTGAACCACACACTCAACCATGTGGGCCACCCTAACCATCACACCACTGTCTGGCTGAGAAATCACTCCCTAGGGGGAGGGCCCTGCTGCAATCACTCCTCTATTGTACTCCTAGGATCTTGGGAGCACGTGCACAAACACAGGTGCATGCGTGTGCATGTGAACTCAGCATGATTTTCAAGCCACCGAGTCCAGGACTTGAGCCAGTCAGCCATGTGGGAGTCCAGTGATATAGCCACTATGCCATCTGCTGGCCATAAAATCTTTTAAAAAAATAAAGAGAAAAACTTCTCCTGTTTTCTTTCTTATTCTTATATGGTTTGATTCTTATATTTAAATCATTGATTCATCTAAAAGTTAGTTTGGTGTAGGGATTCCAGTATAGTAAACTGGACTACAAAATGAACTAAATGATGACAGAAATTTTCACCTAGTTGATTAACTACATGAGAATCATACCAAATGTTCCATAGGGTTTTTATATGTTATATATACCTCCAGCACCTGGTATGGTACCCAAAACAAAACAAAATCCTTAACCACTTGATAAATTGAATTGAGATTTGTGGGTACAACAGCTTCATTTATAATGTTCTATCTATAATGTTATATTTATAATGAAATGAGGGCCAGTCCATGGCGTGAGGATTAAGGTGGCAGTATCCACATAGCCAACTGCATGATTCAAGTCCCAGACCTGGGACTTGAGAACCACAATGGGCAAGTGTGTGTGCATGCCCAGAATCCCAAAAGAGGAAGAAAGGGAGAAGTAGGGATTGTGGCATGACCTTCCCCCATGAGGGCATTCTTTCTCACTTTCCCTTTTTCTTTCATTGTATCTCCAGTGAACATACATGCCCTCTGGAAAATTTTTAAAAGGTGTGTGTGTTGGGGGGAGATATAATACCACAAATATAATAGGTTTCTCCTGCAGAAAATATAATCATAGAATTTACTTCCAGAGAGTAGAACAATTATTCACTCAACAAACAGTGAGCTTCTTTACAGGCAATCTAGCTGAGGACAGGGAGACAATAAATGTCATGCAGTGGGTCATGCTGCAATCCCTTCTCCATTTCTCCTTTCGAGTTTTTAGGCACATATATACACATATGCCCAGTGTGCTTCTCAAAACATTGGGTCCAGAATTTGAACCACACACTCAACCATGTGGGCCACCCTAACCATCACACCACTGTCTGGCTGAGAAATCACTCCCTAGGGGGAGGGCCCTGCTGCAATCACTCCTCTATTGTACTCCTAGGATCTTGGGAGCACGTGCACAAACACAGGTGCATGCGTGTGCATGTGAACTCAGCATGATTTTCAAGCCACCGAGTCCAGGACTTGAGCCAGTCAGCCATGTGGGAGTCCAGTGATATAGCCACTATGCCATCTGCTGGCCATAAAATCTTTTAAAAAAATAAAGAGAAAAACTTCTCCTGTTTTCTTTCTTATTCTTATATGGTTTGATTCTTATATTTAAATCATTGATTCATCTAAAAGTTAGTTTGGTGTAGGGATTCCAGTATAGTAAACTGGACTACAAAATGAACTAAATGATGACAGAAATTTTCACCTAGTTGATTAACTACATGAGAATCATACCAAATGTTCCGTAGGGTTTTTATATGTTATACCTCCAGCACCTGGTATGGTACCCAAAACAAAACAAAATCCTTAACCACTTGATAAATTGAATTGAGATTTGTGGGTACAACAGCTTCATTTATAATGTTCTATCTATAATGTTATATTTATAATGATATGAGGGCCAGTCCATGGCGTGAGGGTTAAGGTGGCAGTATCCACATAGCCAACTGCATGATTCAAGTCCCAGACCTGGGACTTGAGAACCACAATGGGCAAGTGTGTGTGCATGCCCAGAATCCCAAAAGAAGAAGAAAGGGAGAAGTAGGGATTGTGGCATGACCTTCCCCCATGAGGGCATTCTTTCTCACAACTGCATGATTCAAGTCCCAGACCTGGGACTTGAGAACCACAATGGGCAAGTGTGTGTGCATGCCCAGAATCCCAAAAGAAGAAGAAAGGGAGAAGTAGGGATTGTGGCATGACCCCCATGAGGGCATGCTTTCTCACTTTCCCTTTTTCTTTCATTGTATCTCCAGTGAACATACATGCCCTCTGGAAAATTTTTAAAAGGTGTGTGTTGGGGGGAGATATAATACCACAAATATAATAGGTTTCTCCTGCAGAAAATATAATCATAGAATTTACTTCCAGAGAGTAGAACAATTATTCACTCAACAAACAGTGAGCTTCTTTACAGGCAATCTAGCTGAGGACAGGGAGACAATAAATGTCATGCAGTGTAAGTGCTGCAAGTCAAAATGGAGCAGTGATTGGCAATAATGACTAAGAGGGGGGAACACTAGCCCAGGTGGTGAAGGACATTGACAAATTGCCTCGACTAATTGTGACTTTGTGTAAATAAAGAAATCAAAAGACAGGGGGTTAATCCTTAGGAGATTATTAAGGGAGTTGAAGGGAGAGGATTTGGGGCATAAACCCAAATGCACTTTGAGTGTTCTTCTTTTTCTTTTTTCTTAAGTTTTTTTTTTTTTTTTTTTTTGCCATAGGGTACATGGTTTGCTGGAGAGAAACAGTGAGAAGGAAAGGGAGAAATCACCCTCTATGGGGGACGGTCATGTCACAGTCTCATCTCCACTCTCCTGGGATTTAGGGCACATATCCACATGTACCTGGTGTGAGTTCAAGCCACCAGGTCTGGGACTTGAACCGTTGTTGGTTATGTGGGAGTCTGGAGCCTGAACCACTACATCACCTTCTGGCCCCTTTTCAGTGTTTTTCAAACTGCTAGGTCTGGGACTCAAACTGTGCAGCTGGCCATGTGGGAATCCAGACGCCTTAACCTCCACACCACTGGCTGGCCCCTTAATTACAATTTTAAAAAGTGATTTTGATGTACTCTTTACAAGGGAGCTAGAGCTGAATTTAGACTTAAAAATCTTAAAACTTTTAGAACCTATTTATTTCAGAATAGAACTCGGAGTCCATTATTTGCCATAATACACATGGCCTTTGATTGCTGTGTTTTGTCACTCTGCTGCTTCTTGTCTGCTATGTGGCATTGAAATTTTCAATTCATTGCTAACTAAAGGAAACATTTGTATATTGTTAAAGAATTTAAGTATTTTTTTTCCTTTAGTGTTTTCAGATGGATTTTAAAATTGAACACACTTGGGATGGTTTTCCAGTGAAGCATGAGCCAGTGTCTGTCAGGCTGAATCCAGGTGACAGAGGAGTGATGATGGAAGTTAGTGCTCCATTTTTCAATGATCCTCCAGCCCCACTCGGAGAACCGGGAAAGCCATTCAATAAACTGTGGGATTATGAAGGTAAGTAGAAGTGTTATATATTATTGCAAACATAAATCTTTTTATAATAACCTCTCACAGAACTATTATTTTATCTTTCTGTTAGGAGGTGAGTGCTTCTCAGCCTCTGACATATGCAGTTGCTGATATTTCCTACCAATCTCTCATTCTGACTTTTTCTCCATTACCTATGTGACTTCAACTATATAACCACAACAGTGAAAAATGGCAATTGCAAATCCCCATCTTTAGATCGCTGCCGTCTCTCCTTCCTTTACTTCTAATGTCTATTCTAACAAGAGTTCAGCATTCCTGTTTTGTCTTTGAGTATCTCCAAATTACCACTTTAACCTTATAAACCTTCTTTATGGAAGTTTTGGGGTGTTTTACTTATTATAGAAACACCATCCACCTCGACTGATAGCTGTTTTACTTTATACTGGCAAGTACTGTCACACATTAAATTAAAGCCAAAAGAAATGCCATGAAATTGCACTTTCTCAGGTTCGCTTTGTGATTCCCTTCTAAGCGTACCCTAATTAAGCTACCAGATTGATCTCTCTGAAACGATGCCATTCCCCTGATCATAAGCCGTTACTATTTCTCAGAGAAAGTTCAAATCTTTCCTATATGCTTTTAGGATAGTCATGAATTGGGCCACCATATTCAACCCAAAACTCTTGACTTCTAAATAGTTAATGATCTTACTGTCCATATGTGTCTTCACCACGTACCTTCTCGTTGTATTCTGTCTCTAATGCGCATAGTTTAAAATCTAACTTAGGTCTCACTTCTTCACAGAAGCCTTTGATGCATCTTCTAGTCACACAAATACCTGTTTCCTCTATACCATTTGTATAGCACACATTTTGCCAGTGTTGTCATGTGTTAAACATACATTGTGTTTTATTGATACAGAACTTACCAATTGATACAGAACTTACCAACTGTATATAGTAGTTCTCTAATAGTATAGATGCCAGTGTGACTTACTGTTGGAGATACTACAGCACCAGCTCATCTACTCTTCTCATAAACTTTCCTCCTTCCCTAGTTGCCCAATTAGTTGTCAGTGCTCCATCAGTGGCACTGACAGTATATTAGATCACCAAATCTAGAAATCATGAGGTCTTCCCAAGATATCTTTCTCTTTCACCTTCCAAATTTAGTTTTATCTACTAAGGCCTACCAGTGTCACCTTCTAAATGTTTCTCTATTTCAGTACTTCCTCTTCATCCCCACAGCCCATGATTTAGGTTAAGCCTTCATCACGTTTTACTTAGGTCAGGCCAGAGCTTACTAAAGGTGCCCTAAGTCCTTCCTTTCTCTGATTCTTTACCCAGTTCCAACTCATCTTTCAGTGGAGCTTAGATGAAAGCATATTCCCCAAAAATCCTTCCCTAAACACTTTTTCCCCCCAAACTGAGCATCTTTTTTCTTTTTTTCTGTGGAAAATTATGTATCTTTCCATTTTGGAATTTTAATGAAAAGTTTTCACTGTCTGATTAGAGTGTGAGCTAATCAAGGTATTCCCAGAATCTTATATAGTGTTTCAGACAGAGAATCTATAAAAATGTTTTTAAGGGAATGATAAAAAATAGAAATTAGAAGATATGTAAGTATGTTTATATATTCTAGTCAGTACCATTGCTAATACAGGAAAAACCCCAAATTGGATGATTTATGAAAGGAGTTTGCTCAGCTCATGGTTTGGAGGTCCCGAGGTCCAGGGACCCCCTTGCCCTGACTCCCATGGTGATCTTCTGACTATAGTACTATGTGGCAGAGCAGGAGAGTGTGCTCGGGGTACCGTGTGTCTCTCTCACTCCCCCTCCTTGTAAACCCACCCGGAGTCAATCATGGGGCCCCATCCTAATGACCTGAATCCCAGTCTCTTCCCAAAGCTTGCCTGTTGACACCATAACTAGATCAAGTTTTTGCCCTCTTTATCCCTTTACAATGGCTCAAGGAACATATTCAAACTATACCACTATACACATACACACACACACACACACACACACAGAGATTTATTTTAAAGGACTGGCTCACATATGGAGACTTTCAAGTTCAAAATCTGCAGAGTAGGGCAGTAGGCTGGTGACCCAGGGAAGAGTTGATGTTGCAACTTGAGTCTGTAGGCTGACTGCTGTCGGCAGTCCTCCCTCAGGGGAGGTCCACCTTTTTTTCTGTGAAGAGCTTCATGAACTGATTGGATGAGACCCACTCACATTATGGAGAATAATCTGCTTTTTGATTTAAATATTGATTTCATTTAAAAATTACCTTCTCAGAAACATCTAGAAGAATGTGGAAACATATCCGAGTAACATGGCCTAGTCACATTGACACAAAAAATAATTGTCATGGTAGACATTCTAATTTGTTTAGATGAAAAATTTAGAAAGAGACAGTAAGATTCTCTGAATTGTTGATGGACCCTTATGTATACCTTAGCTATTTTATTACAAAAATAATACATGGAAAATTGGAAAAAACATAAATGTCTACCCGAAAAGGATTAAGTAAATAAATGATAACATTCCAGAAGAAAATACAGTAGTTATTAACTAAAATCAAATACCCATATGCTGGAAAGCAAGTTGTAGAAAAGTATGATTCCATATTTACTTTCTTAAATTCTAAGAGGCTAAAACAGTTGTAGAAACAACAGAAAATCGAACAGGTTTTAGATCAAAGGGAGAGGAAAACTACTTTGATTTTTTTTTCTTTGTTAATGATAGAGCATTTGGGTATGTATTTGAGAGAGAGAAAGAGGGAGAAAGAGACAGAGAGAAAGAGAGATGAACACCTTCACTGGGCCTGGTCACGGCAGTCTCCTTCTTCCAGTCCAACAGATCTTGGTCACTTGCACAAATGCCTGGTGTGTCATAGGCCAGCCAGGCCTAGATTCAAACCACAGCTGCCATCAGGGATATGTCTCTGAGTATTTCATTAAGGCTGTGCCAAGAAGCTGGCTTTATATGCATTTGGGTTTTAATTATTTATAAGAAAGATATATTACTTTCATAATTAAACAGTTTTTTTACCACAAATAAAAACGTTTTATTAAGTAAAAGAGCATATAATGTCCAATTATTTGCCCCCAAAATGCAAATCTCAATGAACTATGATTTCCTTTTTTTTAAAGAGTTATTCTTTTCAATTTTATTTATTCATTCATTTACTTTTCATTTGACCAGACAAAGACACAGAGAGAGTGAAAGAGGGAAAGTGAGAAAGCAAGCCACCAGGTCTGGGACTCGAACCATGGCCAACCATGTGGGAGTATCCAGCGCCTTAACCACCACACCACCTGCTGGTCCCATGAACTGTGATTTTCTAAAAAATATAAATTAATTCAAAGAAAAGTTTAAAATTAATGAAGTTGAATTATACCATAAAAGAAGTGGAGAATGAACATTTTCAATAAAAAAAGATTTTAATAATTAAACAATTTTTAGGGGCCAGCAGGTGGCACGGTGGGTGCTAGACTCTCACATCGCTGACCACAGTTTGAGTCCTGGACCTGGTGGCTTGTTTTCTTGCTTTCCCTATTTTTTTCTCTCTCTAAGGTTCTCTCTGGTGAGCACATGTGCCCTGTACCAAATTAAATAATAATAATATTAAATAAAATTAAATAAATAATTCTTTAAAAATAAGTTAAACAATTTTTAAAATAGCACATGCTCAAAAATTCCAGGAAAATAATAAAAGGTCGCCTATCTGTATTCCACAGATAATCAGTCTTAACATGTTTCCGTGTACATTTTGCAAATATCTAGGCCTAGCATACATACACATTTTAATTTCATGTACATTCATTTGTTGCTCTGTAGCCTGCTTATCAAATAATCATGGATGTCCTCCCATGTCAACAAATATTAAGCTATATATTTGAGTGTAGTGACAGGTAATACAAGAATTCCATAATTTACCCAGTAAGTCTCTTGTAATAGATTTATTTATAGAATAGTAGACAATTCTTGTGAATAGAAAACACTTAGTTAGGTCATTTTCAATTTCTGTGCAATGCTTTGATGAACAGCATCACACTTACTTCTTTTCTCAGTTGTCTAATTATTTCTTTAAGGTAAAGTTTTAGAAGAAGATAACTTACTCAAAGTCTGTATGTGTGATAATGTTAATTTCTTTATAATCGGCACCAGCACTAGGCATTGTTAATCTTTGTAATTTATTATAATCTGATTTGGTAGAAAAATTGATGATTTATTATGTATTTTTTCTTTTGGGTAATGTCTATTTTTCTTTCTCCATTTCCTATTGGGGATAATCCTATAATTAAAAATAATTGGGTTGGGGCCAGCAGATGGCGGGAAGGTTAAGGCAGCTGGATCCCACATGGCTGACTATACTGTAAAAGTCCCAGACCGTGCTGCTTGAGAAAACATCCCAGGTGTGTACGCACGTGCGCCCCAAATCCCGAGGAGAAAGGAGGAGAAGGGATGTGACATGGCTATCCCCCCTGGGGGGGTGCTTTCTCACTTTCTCTCTCTGTCTGTATGTGGTAAGCCCTATAGCAACAATTTAAAATAAGTAAGTAAATAAAATAAAAATTATTAGCATTATATTCTAAAAGAATAAATGAATTATATATTGTTACAGCAAAATTAAATTTACCTACATGTCTTATCTCTGTTTTCAAAAGTTGTGGAAGCGTTTTTCTTGAATGATGTAACTGAGCAGTATTTAGAGGTTGAACTTTGTCCGTAAGTATAAAATATTTTTGCTTAATAATTACTATATACTTTGAATACTATATTTTCTAGTTAAAAATCTTGTTGCTACAGTAAAATATCACTAATCCTGGCTAACTGGAGGAATGCTAATCTGAATTAATCTACATTATATACTTTTATACAACTTATTTTTAAATAGAGTTCGTATATTTAGAATATATAGGACCAACTACGTGGCCTGGTGGTTAAGGCAGCCAGGTCTCACATGGGCAGCTGTGCAGTTTGAATCCTGGCTCTGGTGGCTTGAGAAACACGATAGGTTTGTGTGCATGTCCAAACTCTTGAAAGAAGGGAGAGATGGAGAAGGGATTGCCATATGACCGTTCCCCATACAGGACGCCATCACCCCTCTTCTCCTTCTGTTTCTCTCTCTCTTGTGAGCACGTGTGCACTAGCAAAAGTAATATATTCTAAATATTTTCAAGTATTGCCAATATAATTTTCAATTCACTAATATAGTTGGTTTTTCTAATAAATTTGAAGATTTTTTTGGTAAAATGAAAAATCATTATAAAACAGAAACTCTTTTCGTCATTGTTTATAAATTTCCATTATTATATACTAGCTGTTCAGAAATAAAAAGAGACATATGGATGTAGTGATTTAAACCAGCTTATGAAAATGATTCTTTTGGGGAGTTTTTTTTGATGACTTGGTTAAACTTTAATTTTATGTATTACATAATTAGGTCTTTATATATTCCTGTCTTTATTCATCATTCATTTACTGAGTATATACTATGTTACTTTTGCATTCAGCATCAGGTATAAAAACTAAATCGTAGGCCAGCACGTTGGGTGGTGATTGAGATGCTGGACTCCACATGGCCAACTCTGCAGTTTGAGTTCTGGACTCGGTGGTTTGAAAACCACATTGGCACATGTGTATGCATGCCCTAAATCCTGAGAGGAGAAGAGAGGAGAAAGGATTGCTGTGTGGCCATCTCCTCTTGGGAGATGTGTGTGTAATTTCTCATTTTCCCTCTTTCTCTGGCAAGTGCATATGCCCTATGGCAAAAATCCATTAAAAAAAAAAAAAGCTAAATCACATGGACTTTTCTATATTCATTTAAAATACTAACCTTGGACTCTGTTCAAATTTAACTATTCCCTTGGGAACCCTTACATGGTTGGCAAACTTTTTTCTTGTTGATGTGGAAAAGTAAACTTATGCTGTTATCTAAACTATAGCAAATTTAAAATTCGTGAAGTATTTAATACATGAAATATTTATTTATATTTTCATTATTTACTGTATGTGTCAGTTAAATGGTTCTCCGAGTCTGGCCTCACAGCCTAGTGGTAAGGAGAAACCAGATCCCACGTGCCTGCTGCAGTTTGAATCCCCCTCCTGGTGGCTGGAAAAACAGCTGAGTGCATATGCCTATGTGCCCAAGATCCTGACAGGATGGAGAAGTGGAGCAGAAAGGCTTGTAGCATGACTATACCCCATTGAGATTGCTTTCTCTCTCCCTGTCTCTGTATCTCTCTGCCAAGCACACATGCCTTATTACAATTAAAAAAGAAAAGCTTCTCGGAGGGACCAGCAGTTGGCGTAATGGCTATGTCGCTGGACTCCCATGTAGCCGACCGTGGTTCCAGTCTTGGACCCGTGGCTTAAAAGAGACATATGGATGTAGTGATTTAAACCAGCTTATGAAAATGATTCTTTTGGGGAGTTTTTTTTGATGACTTGGTTAAACTTTAATTTTATGTATTACATAATTAGGTCTTTATATATTCCTGTCTTTATTCATCATTCATTTACTGAGTATATACTATGTTACTTTTGCATTCAGCATCAGGTATAAAAACTAAATCGTAGGCCAGCACGTTGGGTGGTGATTGAGATGCTGGACTCCACATGGCCAACTCTGCAGTTTGAGTTCTGGACTCGGTGGTTTGAAAACCACATTGGCACATGTGTATGCATGCCCTAAATCCTGAGAGGAGAAGAGAGGAGAAAGGATTGCTGTGTGGCCATCTCCTCTTGGGAGATGTGTGTGTAATTTCTCATTTTCCCTCTTTCTCTGGCAAGTGCATATGCCCTATGGCAAAAATCCATTAAAAAAAAAAAAAGCTAAATCACATGGACTTTTCTATATTCATTTAAAATACTAACCTTGGACTCTGTTCAAATTTAACTATTCCCTTGGGAACCCTTACATGGTTGGCAAACTTTTTTCTTGTTGATGTGGAAAAGTAAACTTATGCTGTTATCTAAACTATAGCAAATTTAAAATTCGTGAAGTATTTAATACATGAAATATTTATTTATATTTTCATTATTTACTGTATGTGTCAGTTAAATGGTTCTCCGAGTCTGGCCTCACAGCCTAGTGGTAAGGAGAAACCAGATCCCACGTGCCTGCTGCAGTTTGAATCCCCCTCCTGGTGGCTGGAAAAACAGCTGAGTGCATATGCCTATGTGCCCAAGATCCTGACAGGATGGAGAAGTGGAGCAGAAAGGCTTGTAGCATGACTATACCCCATTGAGATTGCTTTCTCTCTCCCTGTCTCTGTATCTCTCTGCCAAGCACACATGCCTTATTACAATTAAAAAAGAAAAGCTTCTCGGAGGGACCAGCAGTTGGCGTAATGGCTATGTCGCTGGACTCCCATGTAGCCGACCGTGGTTCCAGTCTTGGACCCGTGGCTTAAACTCACACCGGGCGTGTGTGTGAGTGCATGCCCAAGATCCCTAGAGAAGAATGGAGGAGAAGTGATTGTGACATGGCCATCCCCCCCGGGGGGTGATTTCTCACTTTCTGTCTCTCTCTCTCTTTCTGGCAAGTGCACACACATGCCTTATAGCAAAAACCTCTCCAAAATAAAATAAAATAAAATAAAATAAAATAAATAAAAGAAAATCTTCTCAGTACCAAATATCCAGTAGCCTTTGTTCCTTGGTAGGCTAGCCAGAAAGCCACAATGATCTAAATAAAAATTTAGATATTCTTTCATTTTCTCATAGTTAGATATTGCTAACTCTAATGTGGAAAATAGACATAAATTAAAATCTTTAGCCTATTAGCTAGTTTTAGACAGGTTGTTGGGTAGTTTGTTTTTTCTCATTATTCATGTCAGAGTGCATGTATGTGCATGAGAGAGATGACAACCTCCCACAGGGTCTAGTCGTGCCCCAGTCCCCTCCCTCTAGTTCTCTAGCCTGTAAGATCGTGGGTACTCACAGGCATGCCCAGTGGGTTTCAGGCTGACTGGGCTAGGGATTCCAACTGGGGTTGCCATGTGATCGCTGGCTCCTCTTAGAAGCAGATTACCACTCGTGCCACGGAGCCAGCCCTCAACAGTCTATGCTTTGTCTTTTCTGTCTTTCTAACGAGCAAGATCGTTTTCTTAGAGAGATAACTTTCAGTAAAGTTGCTGAATTCAGGCTTGGAAATTGGTCCAGCTTCCCTTAGGGAACTTTAGTTTGGGGAACTGCTTTTATTATAAACTCCAAGAAGCACGATGTCCTTCTGATGCTTTTTCATACTTTCTGTCATGTAGCCAAAGGAAGTATTTTATATAATTTCTTATTTAAAGAATATTAAAATCCACGTAAACATGTGAGGCTTTATGCATTTGATGTTAATTTTCTGGAAAATGGTAATTCCAAAGAAGTCATTTCTTCTTTTTTTTGGAGAGGTTTTTGCTATAGGGTGCGTGTGCTTACCAGAAAGACAGAGAGAGACAGACAGAAAGCCAGAAATCAACCCCTGAGGGGCAGGGTGGATAGCCATGCCATAATCCCTTCTCTTCCATTTTCCTCTTGGGCTCTTGGGCACACACATGCATGTGTGCCTGGTATGAGTTTAAGCTAAGATAAAATTTGTATTATATCTTTTAATTACTTGGAAAATTAGTTACATGCACATGCATTTCAGATATGAAGGCTAGAGAAGAAAATGTTTCTTTCAAATACTCATGAGGAATCTTAATTTTGACAGCCATGGACAACATTTAGTACTTTTGCTCTCTGGAAGAAGAAACGTGTGGAAAGTAAGTAAATTAAAATATGAGATGAAATCTAAGTGCTCAAGTGATTTAAAGTGTAAGTTTAAAGTATAAGTTCCATTTTACCTTTTATGTTCCGTGTGTTGTTTTTGTAGCAAGAACTTCCTTTATCATTCAGCGTTTCCGGAGCGGAGACAAAATGGGAAGGCAAAGCCTATCTTCCTTGGAGTTATTTTCCACCAAACGTGACAAAATTCAATTCATTTGCAATTCATGGATCAAACGATAAAAGAAGTTATGAAGCTCTTTACCCTGTACCTCAGCACGAACTGCAACAAGGACAAAAACCTGATTTGTAAGTAGAAGATCAATGAAGATCTGGTCCAACTGTAAGAGTGTTTGGGAAATTAATTCTTGGTAGGACAACAGTGACATTTTCTTGTTAAAGATGACAGGGCCAACCAGGTGGTGTGGTGGTTAAGTTGGGAGAATCCCACATGGCTGAGTATGTGGTTCGAGTCCTGGTCCTGGTGACTTGAAAAATACGCCAGAAGTGTGTGTGTGTGCATGCCCAAAATCCTGAGAGGAAAATGGACGAGAAGGGAGTGCAGCATGGCCATTCCCGCTTCTTGGTGATTTTTCACTCTCTCCCTCTCATTCTCTGTCGCTCTCCAGTGAGTACCGTGCCTTATAGCAAAAACTTAAAAAAATAAATGACATGGATACAAGTGCCTAGCAGAAGCCTGTATCTCTAATGGCCCTAAGAAAACACTTGATTGACTTTAGATTGACTTAGTTTCTCTTACTTCCGGGCACATATTTTGCCATATTGGTATGAGGAAAGTCTTGTTTAGTTAGTGTTGTAACAGCTGATATAGAAATGTGATTGCAAATTCAGCTTATTTCTTTCAGATCTAAATGACCAGAGGCATTATGGTTCATTGGTGTAAATAAATGGTTAATAAATTATTTTTTCTCCTGGAAGAGATGAGTAGTCTGTCTAGCTCTCTTCTCAGGCCTCATAAAGGTAAAATATCAATGGTGTTTCTAGGCAACATTGCTTATGATAAAAATTGCCTCTAATTGATAATAATTATACCTGGATTGAGAACAATTTATTTTTCTAAATATCTTTTTATTGTGGGACACATGTATTCATGAGAGAGAGAGAGATAGAAAGAGATAGAAAACACTTCCAATGGGGCATAGTCATCCAACAATCCTTTTCCTCTATTTTTTCATCAAGTCTGTGTTTAGCGCACACATGTGCACATGCCCAGCATGTTTTTTAAGCCGCTGGCGCTGAGATTCAAACCCTGATCAGCCATGTGTGATCCAGCAACTCCCTATGCATACCATTTAACTGCTACACTAGGGGGCTGGCCCTGATGGAGTGTAATTTTAAATACACTTTAAATATATGATGGGGCCAGCATGGCTTTGGAATTCCTCCTTTACAGTCCTTGTTGCCTGTGGGGACCATGGAAGCTATGCCTGTGGAGGTATTACAAGAGATACTGCCTCTTATGGGCAGCAGGCATTTAAGCCAAGATACCTCATACATGTTACACAGTCTCATTTCCTTGCACTAGAAGCTGTCACCTAGGGAGAATATAGCCCCTGGCCGACCTCAGGGATTGTAAATGCTTCATTGACTGTAAAGACAGATCCCTGAGGGAGGAAAGCCAGATGCTGTCATGGGGCAAACCATGATTCCTGCTTTTTATTTCTGAGAGTACTCAGTGGCCCAGGTAGTCTGGTGAGTGTGAGTGTTCAGAATAGCCTAACAGGGATGTCCTATACTTTCTGTCATCTAACCAAATGAAGTATTTTATATCATTTTTTATTTAAAGAAGGATAATAATTGCAACATGGTAGACTGACATTTAAGCCTTTTTACACTTGTGGTTGTGCTTCACTGTCCTCCATTGGCCTTCTCCTTCCTGTCCTGCTCTTACTTCCTTATACTTTGCCTCAGTCTCTTCTCTGCATATTTCTTTATGCTGCCTAACATACTTTTTCTTTTCTCTTTCTCCCCAGTCCAGACCTTTGCTGCCTTATTTCTCTCTTCCTCTTATCTGTCACTGATCTTTATTTAACCTCTTGCTCTGGGATTGACAGTTCTGACCTAAAACTGGTTCATTGTGGCCACGTAGGCAAAATGGGACAAGAATTTAGATGCAGTGGATTCAGGGACCTCATACCAGGATGGCATGTGTCTCTGGCTCTTGGTTAGCTGATATATTTCTATATTCAGGCTTCCCATTTATACATTGTTAGAGGCTTCCCAAGGTAGAAGTACGATTATACAGTGGCCAGGTCAGAGTGATTTCTTACAGAGCAGAATTCCATTGCAGCATGTTAGCTAAGCCTTTCTCTCTGAATTAAGTCACAAGAAAAAGCCACATAATAGTTTAATGGTTTTTCTAGAAAGGAAAGAACTAGGATTTACACTCTTACTTAACCATTTTTGCTTTGGCAAAGAAGGGAAGTAAAAAGCCTACCCTTTAATTTATGAAAGTAAAATTTTAAAAACAATCGCCTGTATAACTGATATAAATTATATCAATATTTGAATATAAAAATGTACACAAGAGTATAATATGATTTGTTTAAAGCTAGATGGAGTGAGTCATGTTTTGAGGGTTGATTTTTATTTTTCCCTTCAACTGTGTATTGAAGAATTGAAAGGCAGTGCTTTGAAATGTGGGTGAATGTTTTCAAAGCTGAGTGTTTGATAGCTAGAGTGAGAAAATCATACATGTAGAATACATCTTACCTTTGGTAGTTCTTAAAATAGAATGTTGTCCTATCACAGATGTGACAAAATAAATAGCCCTTCAGAACAACTATTTCACAAATGCATAATTCATTTCAATTCCCACCTTCTTTTTTTCTTTGCTTTTAGCCATCGTCTAGAATATTTCAAACCTTTCAATTTTAACACACTGCTTGGAGAAGAATGGAAACAACCAGAATCAGACCTATGGCTAACAGAGAAATCTGAAATATAAGAGTATAGTATATAATTATATCAATCTTACTTTGTATATAACATTTATGGTAAACCAGTAAGAAGAATCGATCTGTTTCAAGACATCATGAACACATTTCAACAACAAATACTTTCATAGAGGTCACCAAAACTATGATACGTCTGTGACAAATTGTACATAATTAACAAGAAAATAGAAAATTTGTAGATGATTTTATCTATGAAGTTAACATGTTCCCCAGAATCACTTAGTCCAAGAGCCATGCTGTCATTGGGTTCTACCTTCCATCATCCAAATATCTGACTCTGTCAAAGTCATTATTTCTCTTCCTGTTTCCCTAAACCTCACCCAGCCTGAGACTGAAATGGCTTATTTGCACATTTTAAAACTCCATGTAATATATAGTAATTCCTTACTAGGAATCTTTTTTCCATTTCTTAAAATTAATAGGAAATAGTGACCTATTTCAGTTGAACAAGAAATCCACATCTATTAAGACATCATTGGGGACCAGCAGATAGTGTGGTGGTTGGGGTGCTGGACTCCCACATTCTGGCTATGGTTTGAGTCCTAGACCCGGAGGCTTGATTTGTTTAAAGCTAGATGGAGTGAGTCATGTTTTGAGGGTTGATTTTTATTTTTCCCTTCAACTGTGTATTGAAGAATTGAAAGGCAGTGCTTTGAAATGTGGGTGAATGTTTTCAAAGCTGAGTGTTTGATAGCTAGAGTGAGAAAATCATACATGTAGAATACATCTTACCTTTGGTAGTTCTTAAAATAGAATGTTGTCCTATCACAGATGTGACAAAATAAATAGCCCTTCAGAACAACTATTTCACAAATGCATAATTCATTTCAATTCCCACCTTCTTTTTTTCTTTGCTTTTAGCCATCGTCTAGAATATTTCAAACCTTTCAATTTTAACACACTGCTTGGAGAAGAATGGAAACAACCAGAATCAGACCTATGGCTAACAGAGAAATATGAAGTATGAGTACAATATATATAATTATATCAATCTTATTTTGTATATAACATTTATGGTAAGAAGAATCAATCAATCTGTTTCAAGACACCATGAGCACATTTCAACAACAAATATTTTCATAGAGGTCACCGAAAATAATGTTTGTGGCAAATTATACATGATTGACAAGAAAATAGAAAATTTGTAGATGATTTTATTTATGAAGTTAACATGTTCCTCAGAATCACTTAGTCCAAGAGCCATGCTGTCATTGGGTTCTACCTTCCATCATCCAAATATCTGACTCTGTCAAAGTCATTATTTCTCTTCCTGTTTCCCTAAACCTCACCCAGCCTGAGACTGAAACGGCTTATTTGCACATTTTTAAACTCCGTGTAATAAACAGTAATTCCTTACTAGGAACCTTTTTCCATTTCTTAAAATTAATAGGAAATAGTGACCTATTTCAGTTGAATAAGATATCCACATCTGCTAAGACATCATTAAAATCCATGAGTTATTTAACGAGCTGTTTTTATCTGTCTTGTGGCTATTTTTATTCTGAAAAAAAAAAAAAGGAACGAAGTACTTCTGAAATCAGGCAGAAGGCTTAGATTTCATTTACAAATAAATGACATTTTCTTAATGCTCTTAAACAAAAATGTCAAAATATCTTTTTTTTTCCTTAAAAGAATTGATTTGTTTATTTCTTTGTGAGCAAGAGAGACCAACAGAGAGACAGCACCCCTAAGGGGTCTGGATGCCACATTCCGCAGCCAGCCCCAGACCCAGATCGTGGGCACTTGCGTGCCTGGTGCACTCGGGAAGTTCTCTGGATGCAAACCCTGAACCCTCTCATGTGGTTTAGTCTCGTGGAGAGTTGCATTTCATTGCTGTACTACCTTTGGCCTCAGAATGTCTTTCTTTTGTAAGCATCCAACATTCCTGGTAGAGAATGTTCAAATTTTGTGATAAAATGTTTCAGAGTTTGAAAGTATCTGGTAGATTATCTATGAACATTTCTACCAAATCTGGCCCTTCTCCAAAGTTATTAATTAGAAGATTGGTAGTCTTGATTAAGATCAAGTTTTATTACATGTAGAAATGTCTATTTACACAAAATGTACTTTCTCCTCTTCTTTTTGACCAACAGAAATTAAATTTTTAGAGGCTGTGATCAAAAACTGCATTTTTCTAGCTGCCTTTGCACATAGAAATGACTATAAAACAGTCTGGGTCAATGAGATATAAAGTATACAGTGTTGGGTGAGTTTCAGAAAGATGGGACTCTCAGATTCCATAAACTTTTTATCCTTTGACCTTCTGCTTTTCTTATTTCATGAACTGCAGAATTGATAATGAGGTCGCATACTATATTGTGACAATGAGGAGACATCCCAGGGTAGCTCAGTAGACAGATAAAGGAGCCAGGATTCCCAAGAGTAGTAGAGTAATGTAATTGGATTGTGTGCTTATATGTATATGTATTTTTAAGTGATCACATATGTGGACCCACAAGAGAAAGAGAGAGAGGAATTCTCAACAGAGTCTCATCACTCCATAGTTTTGGTTTTTGAGTTCCTTGGGATCCTGGGTACCCACATACATATCTGGAGCACTATTAGCTCAAGTACTGGAACCGGCAGTTGACGGTGTGGCTTCCTCCCTTGCAGAACACTTTTCTTAGCACTTCACACAGTGGCTGGGCTATATATTCTTTTTGATGTAAGGAAAAACTGTGTGGTGGTTAAAGTGCTGGACTCCCACATGGCTGGCCATGGTTTGAGTCCTGGATCTGGCAGCTTGTTTTCTCACTCGCCTTTTCTCTGTCAGTCAAATTGGAGAATAATAATAATAAATAAAATTAAATAAATCTTAAGAAAAGGAAAAACTGCCTAATTTATTTATACCACTTTTTAAAAATGTTTCTATCATAAACAACCAAATTCATTTCCTAATTAATTCATTATTCTTTTAGTTGGATGAAAAATGTAAGCTGTGTTCCTCCAAAGGTCAGAAACAAGGCAAGAATGTCTGCTCTACTTCCATTCAACATGGTATTAGAAGTTCTAGCCGGTGTAAGGAGAAATAAATAGAAGTAAATGGTATTACAAAGAAAGAATTAGAATTATTTTTAAGTATTTGATTTTACATTTTATTTGTTTATAGTTTGTTAAGAATCTAAAGGCATATACAGCAAATTTCTAGAATTAAAAATGAACTTAACAAAGTGGGATACAAAATCAATACATAAAAGCAAATCAACTATATTTCAATATATTATAGATAAATAATTTGAAACTAAAATTTAAAACTCAAAGCCACTTATAATAGCATAAAAACATGAAATAACCGGGACTAAATTTAACCAAAATGTGCAAAAAAAATCTCAGAACTGATTAAATTAGACTCATTATTATTACAATTTCCCCAAATTGATCTATCGACTCAATATAATCCCAGTTAAAGTCCTAAAAGACATTTTTAGCTAGAAATGGATGAGCTAATTTATTTATTTATTTATTTTTGTGATTGGAATGCAAAAGATCTGAAGTAGCCAAAACATATTTGAAAAAGAGCAAATTTAGAAGACTTATACTACCTGACTTCAAGCTTTATTAAGCTCTAGTGATGAAGACAGTATAACATTGGAATAAATTTTGACAACTGTATCAATGGAACAGAATAGGGAGACCAGAAACAGACTGACACATATTTAGCCAACTGAATTTTGACAAAGATGCTAATGCCTTTTTTTAAAAATTTGCTAAAAGGTATATGCTCTCACCAGGCAGAGAGACAGAGATAAAGAGAAAGGAAGAGGGAGAATGCATACCTCAATGGGGTATGGCCATACCACAATCCCTTCTCCATTTCTCCGTCCTGTCAGGATTTGGGGCATGCATGCACACTCATTCTGTGTGTTTTTCAAGCCATGGGGTCCAGGACAAACTGGGAAGTTGGCCATGTGGGATCCAGCTCCCTTAGCTACTAAGCAACAGGGCTATCTTTCAAAAGAAAAGATTCTTTCAGCAAATGGTATGAAAATAAATTTAAAAAATGATTCTTGACCCATACTTAACATCCTACAGAAGAATTAACCTAAATGTGACTGATGAAATTGTAATGATAAAAAAATCTAACAGAGAAATTACCAAGCTATTTTTTTAAGAAAGACATAAAAACCACTCATTGGTGGATAAATTGGACTTTATCAAAATTAAAAGCTTATGCTCTTCAAAAGCTCCCATTAAGAAAATGAAAAGGTAGTCCACATATTGGTAGAAAATATTCCAGAATTCATGTATCCGACAAAGAACTTTTACACAGAATATATAAAGAACTCGCATAAAGAAGCAATGAAATGGCTAGCTGGTGGCATTGTGGTTAGGCTGTTGGATCCCATATGATAGCACAGTTTGAGTCCCAGACCCAAGCAACTTGAAAAATACACTGGGTTCACGTGTGTGCATATTCCAAACCCTGAGAGGAGAAGGAATTGTGGTGTGGCCATTCCTCCCTTGGGTGCTTTCTCATCCCCCCACCCTTCTCTCTGTTGCTCACCAGTGAGCACAAGCTCCCTATAGCCAAAATATATATATAAATAAAAATTAAAATTAAAGAAACAATAAAAACAGATATATCAGTTACAAAGCCAAAAGACTTGAAGAGACACTTCACAGAGAAGAATACACAAAAATCTATTAAATATATAGAAATGCTCTCAAGCTCACTAATCATCAAGGAAGTGCAAATTAAAACCACAAGATAACGCGAAATGACTTAAATGACAAAAGACACAATGGCTAAGTGGCTAAATTTTTAAAAAGCATTAATGAGGATGTGGAGTAATTTGAACTCTCATATGATTGTGAGTAGGAATATAAAATGGTACAACTACTTTGGAAGACTGTTCAGCAATTTCTAATTCTTTTTTTTTTTTTTTTTTTTGAGAGGTAGGATATGTGCACTCACCAGAAAGACGGAGAGAGACAGAGAGATAGAAAGCAAGAAATCACCCCCCAGGGGGGATGGCCACGGTGCAATCTT